CTTAGACGTTATTTCCGGCAGTCCTTCGGAAAAAAGGTTTCACCGCGTTGACAGCAGAACTTCTTACAGGATCAGCCGAGGCAAAAAGAAAAAATACGTGTTTTAATTAAGACCATAAACTAGGTACTGGACGAAGGAAAACATAAAAAGTGAAAATTGTATGGTATTTTTGACAGACGCTTTTACAAAAAAATAAAAATTCGTGTGAAAATTTGTCGACGTTTTTTTTTAAATATTTGTAATTGAACAAAAAACAAGATCCTTCGTTCAAGACCTATGAATTATGTCTCGAAGACCCGCGTATGATTTCATTACGACCGGTTGAGTAGTTGGCGAGAAATTTTGAGAAAAACGTGTTTAAAGTTTTAAGCGACTATGGTATATAGCTGAACTCGAGGCAACTTTTCAAGGCCGTATTCTAGAGATGTTATAGAATATAACATATAATATATAATAAGACAATAAAAAAAATATTTTTTGAAGCCGTAAAACCCATGTAACCCCTTAAGAATTCAATTCAATTCAAATAACAAACTACTTAATTTTTTCGAGTCTCTACTCTATTGGGTATATAGGAGCTAAGGGTAATATTGCCTCGTCTTTGCCCATTTTAGGCAGAGGTATGCATTGTTATTAAAATGAGATTTTCTCTTAATTTAAGATATCTTACATATTGACCGATATATGCGGTATAAAATCAAATAATGTCAAAAACCTTAAGATTTTAGGTGTAACATTTGACAACCTGTGCTCCTTTAATCCATATACGACCGCGTTTAATGCCAAAGTACAGAGCAGCAACAAAATACTCAAGTAGCTAGTCAGCAGTTCCTGAAACCTTAGAAAGGAACGTTGTTGGAAACACACAAGGAAATCGGCCGGCCGCTCATCAACTACGCTGCACCTATATGGTCGTCCGGATGTAATGAAACTCAGACGAAGAACCTTCAGACCGGAATATCGGAATATTACATTCCGGACTATTACAAGATGCTTCTTAATGCTCCTGTTGAGCACCTAGTGAGGCCTGCATGCTTCCGGTCACAGAACACAATGCACTCCTCTCCAATATGGAATGATTTCGCAGAAACCGTAGTTGGAGTCAAACCACTACCCATATCCCACTCATCTAACACCCCTCTCCCTATAGTCCGATCCCGTCGTAACAGTACGTTTCCTGGGCATACCGTTAGATGACAACCATTTTGAACCTTACCTCCTAAACGGGGATTAGATAACATATACAACAATAATAACAATATTGTCAAGTTGTTAATTGACAAATCGCAAAAGTTTTAGGTACATTTTTGTTATACATAAAAAACCAGATAAAATTATAATATTGGGTCGTTCATTAAGCAATTTCGTTTTTAGTGCAATTTAAACACGATTTTTTTTATTGTATTAAACGTTTTATGAAAAAATATATTCACCATTTTGATCGAATACCTTTTACAATCTTTCGGGCAAGAGATTGATTCCACGCTCATAAAATATTTGATCCTTGTAAGCACAAACTATTTCAAGTGGTTTTTGACGTTCTCATTTGAGATGAAGGTTCTCCCATCCAAAAAATTTTGAAGAGTCCGAAACAAGTAATAGTCTGAAGGTCCCAAGTCTGAATAATATTTCGAGTCATCAAACTTTTATGAGGTCTCTCATTGCTCTCTTCTGTTTGATACATCACTCAATTTGTCCAGCGGATCACAATACACTACAGAAATAATCGTGGTGTTGTCGGAAAAAAACTTATAGTGAACGTTCCTTTTGAAGTACAACATAACCTTTTTTTTGTTGGCTATCGGACTTCTAAATGGTTTGCGCTGGTTCATCTATTTTAGATCATTATCTCTTGCGCTTTAAATTCTTATAAACAACCCACTTTTCGTCGCCAGTAACCATGCGCTTCAAAATAAATCATATCTTGATGTTGGATAAGATTTCGTTCTGTAAGAACATGAGGAACCCGTATGTTAAGCTTCGAAATTAATCCTAGGCGTTGCATGTGGTCGTGAACGGTCGTGTTAGACAAATGGAATTTTTCAGCAATCTCTCGAGTTGTTCGACGATTTGCATCAACCAATGACTTTCTTATATCCACATTGGACGTGGTGCATCCTTCTAAATTGTTGGACCGAAATTTTCCAAACCAAATTTGGCTTTGACATTCAGTCAACACATCGTTTCCGTACTCATCACATAATTTTCGCCTTGCTTGAACTGCATTTTTACCCTTTTGATAGTAAAATATGATCATCTTCGATAGGAAACTAACTACTTATTCATGAGCCCCTTTTTCTTTAATTATATGCATGAAATTAAAGAAATGCGCGAATATATCAAATTCTTGACACTCAACACCTTATTTCACACTTTCAATTATAGTTAAATCTCTCATTTGCCACATATTAAGCACATGGTTGCCATTTGTGTCTATTTTTTAGTCAGTATGAATAGCAAGCAAGAAAGTATAAAATTTTAAGCGAACACATCTTAAGTTTAATTTTCATTCTAACATATACACACAGTGGACCAAACAAAAGTGTTGTACAGAGAGATGCTGTGACTTTGAAGGGACTTTTCTCTTAAACTCTTTCAGTTTTGAAGCTGCAAGCAAGAGTAACAATATGAGAAGCTTAATCATTTTTCGCATTTTTATAAAAATTTTCCAATATATCTACTTTGATGTTAACGATTGCTAAAAAATAAAATTTCCCACTTTTGAACTACCAAAAAAAAAACTTGTACACTAATGTTGACTGCACTTTAAATGCAGCTATCAAGTAGGTACCGTTACTTTTGTCTGGTATTATTTGAGTATGGTATGTTCTTTGGTAACCGAATTTATTTTGTGCGATTGTAGTTTTTGAAGAAAAAATGGTGAATAAACAAACATCTAAAAATTTACAGGCTCAGTCAGTCAAATATTGACAAGAGAGCAAAATTATACGCGAAATAGGCAATATTTACAAAAAATGCATACTATTATTCAGTACATTATTGCTAAATTCAAAAGTTTCGTGGAAGACTTGATGGTACTGGTACACCCAAAACACGCCGCAGGCTGAAAGTAAAGTTGCTCGGGGTATCAAGAAACACCCCAAAATATCCGGTGTCGCTAACGCCAAGTAGTTGGGGTAAGCTGGCATTGCAAAAGGCCACCTTCAAATTGTTCGGAACTTCTTGGTTTCACCTAGTTTTTGAGCGGAAACATCATGAAACAAGCCACGCTTATCGAAGAGAAATATTGCGAAACGTTTATTATATCCCAAAGAGTATATTCACCGTGCTAACGAATTTTGGGATTCTGCAATTTTTACAGATGAGTCCAAATTTAATTTAATTGGATTTGATAGTCGTCGATTTTTATGGCTTAAGAAAGGCTAAGCGCTAAAAGCTAAAAAATTAAATACGACTATCAGCATGAAGGAGGCTGCATTGTGTGCTGTGTGGTGCAATGGAAGCAAATGACGTCGGTACCCTTGTTTTCCTCGAAGGAATTATGTAAAGAATGTAGTACTAGACAATATTAAAAAATAATTAGGCTTCGTCAGCAATTAAACTAAATTCAAATAGTGGCTACAACTTATATACGTTTTTTTTGTTTTCGAAATTGGAGTTATTTTGAATTCTTTGATTAGATCAGGAGATAAGTCACATCAAACAGTAAAACTATCTCCCTGTACAAGTTTTTTTTTGGTTCACTGTACATAATATTACCTACCAACCAGCCTAGCAGAGGCAAATGAAACTACCAAATTTGATTTAAATTATGTACGCAAACGCGAAGAAATGTTAATTCTTGCTTGGGATTAAAATTTTTATTTTTAATCTGGTTTCTGGGATTAAGTTTTTTGTTAATCCGGTATGTGGGATTAAAAATTGTTTTTTAAATCCGTATTTGGGATTACAAAAAAAAAATTTATTAAAATGTTAATTCAATAACTTTTTTAATACAATATAAGTATAACCCTGACGGACAGACAGACAGTCACTCGTAATTCAACTTGTTTCGGCATCCTGTTCATTTATATATGTAGATATACAAGTATATGTACATATTTGTAATAATATTTATCTCGGTTAGTTTTAGGCGTTACAAACAACAGGTAGGTAAACAAAATTATAATACTTTGTATCAAGATGTTGCGAAAGTATAAAAAACGAATGCAAAAAATGTGTGTCCGTATTATGATGTCGGTTCACTGACGCAGCAATTCGACCAAATTCTATGCCAGCTTTATGCATTTCAATAAGCCTACCCCGCTCTCCATCTGAAAGTTCTGTACCACGTGGCACTCTTACTATATAATTAAAATTAAAAGTAGGTAATTAAACTTCTATGCACTAGATTTAATACCTTTAACTTACTTCTTTTTCAATTTTATCACTTTAGTTAAAATCAAAATTTAGATGTTGTCTGTAAACCTGCCAGAACACAAATAGATGAATTTGCACATATAATTATATTCTATGAACTATACAAATCGCAATGCCGTTGCATATTAACGGTACTACAAATGAGAATATTAAACGTTATACATAAACAAAATATCTGAACCAAGAATACTGCATTTGAAAAAAAATGTTACCGTTATAAATTCACGTATGTACTATGGGTTATTACAAGAGTAAACTTAGCTTAAATTTTAAATTGTTTTCTCACCCTTGATATTCGTGTATATTAACTATAACTATGTTTTGTATGTTTTTTGTGAATATGTATATTATTCCTACTTCCAATATACACTGTATTACTGTAGAGAATTACTTTGAATGTATCCATTCAAAATGAAAAATTAATATCTTTCAAAATCGTCTTTGCCTAACACACAATGCACACTAATGGTTGTTGAGTGTGTGGAAAATTGATTTAAAGCCGTCACCTCGCAAATATCGAAGAAAAGTTAGCTACCAGTTGAAGATCTCTTAACTAATAATATTTACTCATGCTTGTATTTTTGAAATTTAATATTATTGTTATTCTACTTCTTTTGCAGCCTATAACAGTTTGAACACAGCATTTTTGCCTGGTTCAAATCGGCGAGGTAAAAATAAATGGATCAACAAATTTACAGCCTTAACTATACGAAATTCTAAACTTCAAGCTAAGAAAGTACAATCTAAAATAGACTTTTTAATGAACCAAGAATGGAATGGCAAACAATTGTCTTTGTCTAAAACTCATTCCGAATCATATTCGCTATTTAGTTATAATCTGCAGAAACTTAACCCGTCCAAAGCCATTATAAAAGCATTTGAGAATGAAGATAGATTAAGCCGTGAAGATTTTTATGTAGAAAATCTCTTTGACGTCATCCACGTACAAGCTGGCTATTTGTTAAAAAATTGGCATGCTGTAGAGGGGCGTGAATTGTCTCCTCGAAGAACTAATCAAGGTCAAAACAAATCAAATGAATTTGAAAAATTCATGAATCAATCGTTTATTAATTTGGAAGAGCACTTCAAGGTGAAAAAAGATGCATTTCCTTTGAGTTTGATAAAAATTAGAACTGATAATGAAAAATGTAGTTGCCGTACAAGTATTACGGACAACCTTAAAAATTACAATAATAATGAAAATGTTGTTCAAAACAACATGGAGTGCATTGAACAAAATCATGTTTTATCTGAGCACGACACACCTGTAATAAATAACATCAGCATAGTACAAGATGATCAAAAATATAGTTCGGCACACAATAATATAAAGCAAGATTACTTAAGCCTCTCACAAAACTCTTCAGAAAGTTTTGCAACTATACCTAAGGGAGTTCGTATCCAATCGCCGAACATATTCGCGAGTTCAGAAGACGAGTTAGAAGGAGTTGATATTCCAAAAATGGCGTCTTGCAATGAATATGAAAAATTAAATGCATACAAAGAGAGTAAGTTTATTCGGTTTTAACCGTATATGCTTACTTAATGCATTAGATATTATAAGAAATAGTTGTTATGGAGATGTCAATAGCAAAATTGTTTTCTATACACGTTGTTTTTTTTTATATTTTTGGTGGTAGCCCCTTTTACCCTTGATCACATTCAGTCAGTACTATTTTAGTGGAGTTATTGCATATATTTTTATTGCCCAGAGATATTCAGAAGGCTTTCTCAAAATAAATTTTTTCCCCAATGGCCCTCAGTTTCTGAGTGGTTATAGCCTGTTCTTCTCAAGTCTAGATGATATCATCGTTCTTTTTGCCGCCATTTCCACAAATATAGGGAGTGGAGTGAACTGCAGAATCGCCTCACATCTTGGCCACGTGCACCTGGCACATGCATCATATGTATGCATGCCTTAGCAGTTTGCCCAATTGTTTCTTAACTTTCGAGAGGGGAACCCTTCCGACGTAAGCTACTACATCATATGCAATTATTTACCTAACTATAATGGTGTACAATTATCTGGTCTATATTCTCAGGATTTACTTTCGAGCACACCATCAACGCTTTGGTGGTTTTCGCTATCGTGGAGTCCCCATGTATTTTGCACCATAGTCTTTGTCCTATATATATTATTTCAGCTAACCGGCCGTTTCCTTACTGTTTAATGTTATAGTTCTCAGGATTGGAAACGATGTTTCCTCGTAAAGAGGTCTCCTCGTGGCGCTTTGTGCTCGGCAAAAGTTTCTATTACCTAACAAACTGTATACGTTATGTTTATACGCACCCCGAAGGTGGGTTAATTCCGCTCTGACTTCCTTCAATCTCCTGACAGCGGTTTTTGCTGCTGCACCGCATGAGCCTGTTAGCGTTTAGTTCAAGGAACTCTTTGTAGGTCAATCTGTTAGCCTTAGGTCACGCCCTAAGGAGCAGAGAAATTCCGAGAGCGAAGGTTCCGAAAAAAATCCACAATTGCAAGGTCAGACCATTGGAAAGGTGTTTGCAGAGGGTGATATCAAAAGGAGACCAAGGAAGGTATTATGAAAGGGCAGACAAACATCTGGAATATAATTCGTCTCATTATCCCGATCATTTTGATATATAGTATATGTACAAGTATATATTATTTTTTGGTGTTACCAACATTTACATACATATTACAATAATACTTTATTTTATCATTAAACCCGACTATATCCATAGCTGCTATTTCATAATTTTACAAGAGTCAAATGTAATTGTATTAAACATTTCTATATTTCTGAAATTTTTTCATATTTTAGTCGTATCACCATTGAACAATATACGCTCTACAGAAAATCTGAACACCTTAAGTGTTATTTCAAGTATTTTAGATTTGACTCAAGAATTACCATTGGAGCATGTATGTATGTATAATGGAAGCTTTAAGGCCTCAATGGACAATATGAAACCAAATGATTTTCTAGAAAATACGGATTGGGGAACCTTTAAAGAAAACTCATTTAATCGATGTGAAAATCTGATCGTCCCCAGTGTTATTTCAAGTATTATAGATTTGACTCAAGAATTACCATTGGAGCATGTATTAACGGAAGGTGAAAGTTTTAAGGTCTTAAAGGACAATATAAAACCAAATGATTTTCCAGAAAATACGGATTGGAATACTATTAAAGAAAATTCTTTTAATCGAAGTGAAAATGCTACAAATGCAAGAAATTTAGATAACTTAAACAAATCTGCTACAAGTTCTGAGCTCGTATTAAGTACCGAAGAAGTAAATAACGATAGAGAGGATAGTTCTGAAGATTGCATTGTTTTGTCAGAGGACGAAATCAATTACTCGATTTGGAGAGCAGATATGAACAATTTTGGTCCAGAGTCACCAAATAGTTCACTCAATGAGGACGATGAAGATCTGGTACAAGATCCTTGTGTAGTGCTTAGTACATCTGCACTAGCTGATCGTTCTACCGAACTTCTTGAATATGGAATTTTAGATAATATATCAGAACCATTAACACAACCATCTGAGATAATGAGTAGTCCCACACATCAACCCGAATTAAAGGGCGCTCTTTCGACAACACTGCTTGCACCAGTCGGGTTAGATGGTTTATTAAATGGTAATATAAATTTCAATAAATCGAAACAAAAAGGAACTACCTTAGATGTTCAATCTTACACAAGACCTTCAGAACTTTCAGAATATCCTCCTGATGAATATGAAATATCAGGTAGGATATATACCATCCGTATAGTCACTGATCCTAAACCGGAGTTTATGCAAAAATCAGAATCTGAAATATTAAAACAACTTTATGAATTCGGCATTAAACCTCTAAAACGGAAGCAGGCTGTCAAGTTGTTGGAGTTTATATATAATTCAACACATCCATTAATACTTAAACAAACTCCTATACAAAAAAACTATCGCTTCCCTGATAAATCTGATAAAGGTCCTTCGAATCAAATTATTTCACACGCTAATAAATTAAATCTAAAGGATTGTTTTGGCTCTCAAATACAGCTTTTAAAGAATGAATTACAACTCGGTTTGGATTGTGAGGACTATGTATTTCAGACGAATGTTACTAAGAAGGTAATTTATGCCAACTTAAGGGGTTATACTTAGTTGTAGATCTAAGAAAATTTAAAAATTCCATAATATTTTGGGTATTTCCATGTTTTTTGTGAATATTTAATGTACAGCTAGCGCTTTATGACCCCGCAATTTTTTATTGACTTCCTTTGGTCCTATGAGTTCCTCCACAGAAAGATGTCTTGCAGTGTACACGATATATCTGGTTCGATTTATCTGAAAATAAAAAAGAAAATGATTGATTTATTTTCATAATAGATTGATACTAGTAATGAACGAAGGAATAATAAAAATTTTAATGTTTGATGAAATTCCGCCTTCCCATAAAACTTGTATTTTCCTAAAAATTCTTACTTAAACGTAGCTTGAAAATGGAAGTTTTGTATAAAATCTTATTCCTTTGTTCATTATTTGAGGAATGTACTTTTATGCAAGAAAATTGTGCATAATTTTTAAAACGATTGGTTGAGCTGTTTTGGGGAAATTGCGCTCACCAACTCTGAACATCTTTTTCTTAATTCAATATAAAAGTTTTGCTGAATGCGTTCTAATATTTATCTAAGATGAAGCGTGATATTGGTAATATTCCATATGATTTCGGCTTATACATAACTTTTGTTTTATGAAGTTGATTCTAGCAGCTAGATTGGTAATAAAATTTACACAGTGAGTCTTAATTGAAATAGAACACAAAGATGTTTGCGGCATTTATCTATTGGCAGTTTTTTCATGGTAGAAACAGTAGTAAACCTTTTGAAAACATAAACAGAAAAGATAACAAAACACAAGAGTCCTCATGGAATTGAGTGTACTGGCGTAAACAAATCAAATGTTTGTATGATTTTGCAGCTGAATCGTGAAAACATTTGATTATTTATGTAAATAGGTTTTTCAAATGTTTAAGTGTTTGATTGTTTTGCTAGATTAATTACTTAGAATTAATTAATAAACACCCCGGTATATTGACGGAAAGTCCATAAAACTTTCAGCAGTTGCTTCCTTCATTAGCAGAGGAACATATAATATTTGTACGAGCGCCTTAGCCGTTTTATGTTGTTAGTCGGAGATCATTTTATTCATATGTACATTATTTTACCCATTTAGTGACCACCGGTCCTCGCTTTTTATACTTTTGCAACATGTTGCTACAGAGTATTATAGTTTTGTAATCGAGTTAGATATGGGGCTATACATACATAAATGATCAGGATGAAGAGACGAGTTGAAATCCAGGTGACTGTCTATCCGTCCGTCCGCCTGTGCAAGCCGTAACTTGAGTAAAAATCGAGATTTCTTGATGCAACTTCGACACATGTTCCCATGGTGAAATCGGGTGATAACCCCGCGCACTCCTCATATAACGGTTTTCATTAAAACTATTAAAAGTGCGATTACTCATTAAATAAACAAGTCAGGGAGTGACACATAGGATGGTACATATAAGCTTTATACGAGCCAATACAAAAGTTGGACAAAGGGCGTGGCACAGCTTCTTTATTTAATCGAAAATAACGTTGTCAATAAAACTTTGTCCTGTTTGGCGTTTGGAACTTCCAATGGATTTGAGGGATCACGAAGTTTTCGTCATATGCGTACGCCATTCGGATTTGCCCCAACATTTTCGTTATTGCAATATAAATCAAAACTAATGTTCATTTTTATTTTTATCAATGTTTATTTTGCGGTGCCAAATGGAATTTAAATTTTGATAAAATAATAAAATAAAATTCCATCAATCGAAAAACTAAGTTAAAAACTGTAATTGTGTACAGCATTGCAGGAGAGAGTGGCATCTATCTACTAAGTTTAGTGCAAATGTCTCACAAATCACTACAGCCAAGTTCGATCAGGACCAATCTTTTCGGTACTTCCTCCGACGGTGTTAAAATGGGTGAAATCAGAAAGTAACCCCGCCCAATCCCTGTATAACGTTTACGTTAAAAACTACTAAAACTGAGATTACTCGCTGACTAAATACGTTAGAAGCACTATAATTCTCATATCACAATTTCATCAAAATTTGGTACGTTACATTATCCTGAGATTCTTATGTTGCACTGTAAAAATGGCCGAAATCGAACCAAATTTGAGTTAATTCAACTTTTTATTTTAAAAAACGCCGCCGTTTGTCAATTTTTGATTTTCAATGTACGGACAATACCTTCTATCTTTATACCGACAAAAATTTTGACTATCAACACAAAACTGGATATTTAATAGTCTGTAGCTTTAGATATCTCCACGTTTGATTTTTATTAAAACTTAAAACATTCCGCATAATTTTTCGCATATTTTCGTCGAAGAGCCTGAGAGTGGGAATCGCGTGATGTTTGTATGCGCGGAAAAGAGAACAGAACCCCCATAATGGCGGGAAAAATAAATTTTATTACTAACAAACCGATAATTTCATGAAAAATTCGTAATCTGGATACTTCAAACCAGCTGTGAGCTGAGCTGTTAGCAATATTGAACTTTTTTTTTGTATTTAAAGGTATGTGAGACATGGGCTTGGCAACACTTTTTAATTGTAAATTTTTTTTTTTAATTTAACTAATTCTTTTCCGCTTAGAAATTTCTCAATATTCCTTTCAATGGATGATAATATTGATTAGTGATAAGTTAAAAACACTTCCGAGATATTTTAGAAAAACTTTCTTTATAATTTTAACTTTAGCCCGGTCATTACTCAATCTTGACTGATCGCAAATGCGTAAGTAAAAATATTATATTATCTCAAAAACTTTTTTAGTTAAGTAAATTTTAATTTGTAACAATCAAAATTTAATTATTATAATCCACTCTTTAAACAAAAATAATTGCCAAATTGCTTTTCTTTTTTGTTTCATATGAAGTATTCTGATTTTTATTGGGGGTACAAATTTTTATGCAGCGGTTGTCAGAGGAGCTGTATCGCTTTGGGTGATCGGCACTTTAGCTCCCTCTTCTAAAATTTCTTATTATGATATAAAATAAAGAACTTTTGAATTTTATCAGTATTATCGTTTTTATTTTATTGCAGACATCACGGCCACTGTTACCTCTTCATATCGCCTGGTATAACCTCGTTTCCTCCAGTATCAGTTTGAATGAAACTATATTGGCGTATCAGCCCATTGACTTGCAAGAAATTCATGTATTTTTCAAGGAAATCGGATATCGATTCGAACCAAAGGTTGAATATTAAATGTGTATTTTATGAATTTCTTAGATGTTTAATTCATTTTCAGGACATAAAAGCTTTCCTTGACAAGCGCTGCATAATTTTCCGCTACGATATGACCCAACCAGATCGCCAGGTGGAACGCCATATTCGAAAACATAAAAAAAAATACTAAAAGATAGTGAATTATTATAAATTGAACATTTTAAATTTTCTTTATCTATATGATTAATTTCTGATACTGCCTTACAATGATTAAAAAATTACTTAATATTGGTATTTCTAAATTGAATTGCAATAAAAAAAGTAATAACAAGAAAAATAGCTGCACCGAAGCTATAATACTCGTACCCAAACCCACAGGTACATTTCTTTTAGCGGCTTGATGTATAACTATTTGCCTATTTTTTCTTGCCAGGTTGTTTGATATAAACAATCTTCAAGTCGAATTACGGTTACTTAACACGAAAAAAACTCGTATCTTGATTGTGATCCGTCAGTTTGTTTGACAGCTATGTTCTACAGTGGTCCGATCTGAACAATATGTTTAAATATAGTCTGGGTAATAATCCATGCAAAATTTCGTGAAGATATCTTGTCAAATGGAAAAGTTTTACGTACAGGGACTTGATTCTGATCGATCAGCTTTTAGGCAGTTGTATCCTATAGTGGTCCGATATCGGAGAAAAACATATGCAAAATTTGAGATCGATCAAAATTTTGTATGTCTCAACAGCTAAGAGATCCGGACGCGCGTTTCTGTGACTATGGTATACAAAGTGCAGGAGAGAGGGGGGAGATCGGGGACAATTCCTCCTGGTCCCGAATTCTCAGCCAAGCCTGGTCCTCTATAATAACTTTTCCTCCAACAATTCACTATAATTGTTCTCATTATGAATTACGATAATTTTATCAGCAGTCATCAATTAAAAAAATTAAATTTTTTAAGATTAGCATCAATGTTTCTTCAGGATGATTTACTCGAGTTATCATACACATATTTACTCGAGCACATGTAACATCAACAAAAAAAATTCATACGGTTAAATGTAAGTAATTTTTTCTCCAAAAAAAAAAAATATAATCAAGGGGGTTGTGGAATCCAAGACAGATTTCCGTAGTTGTCAGAATTGCAAACCAATTCTGATTTTCATGGTGTCACAGAATCTGATTGGATTTTCGTCTTTTCGAACAAATGCAAAACCAATATTACTATTGTGACAAAACTTCCATATGAATAAATTTGTAATGTCATCCACCTAATGCACCAGGAGAGTCGCATGTGAAATTTGGCTTGCATTTACTTGTATGTTTGTATAAAGGTTTACTTTACAGATTTATATCACATTATCGACTGAATAAAGACGCATTTGGGTGTTAAATTACGTTTTGTAAATCCTCTTAGAATATCTGGATTTTGTCCCATAAACTCATTAATTATGACATTTTGTGTTTTTCCCTATAGAAATAACGATAAATTAAATCGTAACAATAATACAAATTATTTTCTTAACTTATTTCAAGTGTGTCAACGAATATCCTCTTGCTTTGTTTCTGATAACAAAACCGATAAAATTGGTTTCCGTGGCACCTAAAACCGATAAAATTTCTGTTTCGAACGTCAAACCAGTAATATCTGAATTCATGACACCTATTTTCTTATCGGTTTCAATTCTGATTCTGACAACTACCAGATTCTGCAACACCCCTAAATAAGTTAGTCTGGTAGGTTAATAAGACATGTGTGGTCCTTAGTACACAATAATAAAGACGAAAACGTTATTTCTGGGACAAGAATCCAAAGGATTGAACTCGAAGTTTTACCGATCCCATACAGTGCGTCCAAGAAAAAAACCTCCTTGTTTATTAGCAACAATCAATATAATCTATATACATATAGTAGATCCGGCCATGGTATACAAATATTTGTCAATGAAAAAGTTATAAGTTTTCCATTCGGTATTTTACTGAAAACTTTACTATTTTTTTATTTTGAATTATGAAAACATGCTTATGCTTAAAAATATATATTTTTTATTTATGAATTGTTTTACTTTTAATATAATTGAAATATAAACTACCTATCTTTTAAGTTGGATCAAACTGTGAACCGTGTGCTAAATTTTACTAAAATCGGTCCAGTAGTTAAGGAGATAACCGCCGAGAAAACGTGACACGTAGTTTATATGTATGTATGTATATATACTTACATAAATTGGGCGTATGCATTAATTCGTGCGGTTTGTGGATCCCATCCCAAAAGAACTTCTCCGGCTTGGATATCAAGAAAGCATCGGCCAATTTCTGATACCCTGTTCTGAAGTGAAGCGTACTCCGATGCGGGCATTCTGCATTGATCTGAACAAAGTGGTAATCGGAAGACCCGATTTCAATAGCTCATAATAGAGCACACCCTTGTGGTCCCACCAAATACATAGCATAACCTTGGCACCATGGATATTCGGCTTTGCCGTGGATGTCGATGGTTGGCCGGGCTTCACATACGATCTCTTGCGCCAGTGACAATCTGATGCAAAAATTACTTCTTTTGGTGGCGTTGAAACAACATTTCCGACATGCAGAATCGACGTTCGACGTCTCTTGGCTTTAATTCATAAGGCACCCAATTTCCAAGCTTCTGGATGAATCCTAATGATTTTAATCGTCTGGAAACGGTTGCTTGATCAACTCCTAATAATTTTGCAAGTTCTGCTTGCGTCTGGCATGCATCGAGCAATGTCTCCAATTCTTCGTCTTGAAATTTTTTTGGCTGTCCGAGTCGTTCTCCGTCGTCTAAGTCGAAATTGTCACTTTTAACGCAAACCACTTTTGGCATGTTCGTTCGGCTAAAGCATGGTCACCATAAACGTCCAGTAAAATACGATGGCTTTCGGTAGCACTTTTCTTCATGTTAAAGTAATGAAGAAGAACTCCCCGCAAAAACACTTTATCTGGTAAAAATGTCGACGTTTTCAAATGAATGAAACAAATTGTTGTTCACGCTAACACAAATGACATCTACTGAAAACGACTCGAAATGACAGTACCTTTGAAATGAATATAGCCACAGATGAACACGACGCGAAATAATACTGGTAAAGCCCTCGGAAACCGCACGAAATAATGCATATACCCAATATGTAGATAGATGTATGGGAGCTGGGGTGATTCGGTGGGTGATTTAATATTATTAACATATTGATCGATATATGCAGTATAAAGCTCAACGGAAGTTTGAAATTATGTTAGGTAAATGAGGGCTAGCGGTTATATTATCCGATTTGGGATTGTAACATATCATTAGATTATAAAGATAACTCATAGATTGACCAATCTATATGTCACAAAGTCAACCGAATATTCTAAAATCCTTATATTAGGTATATGGGGCATATTCTTCCGATTTGATCCATTTTAGACTCAAGGATTTACTGTTATTAGGAAAAGATACTCTCGGAATTTTATTATGATATCTCACACATTGACCGACATATGCGGTATAAACTGATGAAAAGATTTATATGTGGCATACGGGAGCTAGTGGAGGTATTGCATTTTTGACATGAAGACATATGTTACCAGAAAAAGATGCTCCCTCAGTTTTTTTAAAAGTCAGCATTCACGTTCACATATTATCTTAGGGCTGGGTTAGTTATGGCAGAGAACGTAGGTGTGTTCGAGATGGCAATCACGATAGCAGTGTTGCAAATTTGTCAAAGTATCACGTTCTGCGTGAATTTTTAGCAATACTTGCAACAGCATCACGTTCTACCAGATAATGTAGATTATAGAGAAGGTTCACAGTGCGCCCATTACAAAAATATTTCACTTTTCGCAGGGGAATTGAAAACGATGAGCATGTTTCATCACAGAAAATTATTGACCACAATTAACATCAGGAGACTGAAAAATAGCAGAATTGAGCATTTTCAATGTTAAATGAGAAAAGTAATGCTAATTTTAATGTTAAGGAATGTACGCTTATAGATTCGAATATTTACAATGCGCAAACGACTTTGCATATAATTTAAGATATTACAACATTAGTATGTAAATAATACAAAGTTGTCAGAAACAACCTGTGGCAGATACAGAATTTGTTCCTGGAGGGAATAATTTCCTTCTAACATATATTTAATATTGATATTACTCCGTATATTCTTCTGAATTTGAATTGTTTTCCACGTTCTGGTTTTATGATAGTAGAGGACTCTGTGAATCGATCTATTAACTATATAAATTTTTCGTCAATATTTTATTATAACCGAACTATCATTTCTCCCCCCATCGATCCGCCATCGCGGACAACCGATGTCCGAAGCTTATGTGTTTATTTTTATGTCAAAGAGTCGAAGTGTCGTAATCGGCAACACTAAAAGCACAAACAGTCACCGACGCAAAACCGTGTCCCGAATCAGCTGATACGACCTATCTTATGAGAGCGCAATGTAAATGATCGTTCACCGTCCGCTTCAACGGAACGTACGGTAGGAATTTCCCCGTAGAAACGAGTGAGCTGAGAATGAGAGAGCAATCTCTTGCAACGCAGGGTTGCCGATCTCGATATTTTGTAGAAATAAAAAAAAATTAACTTGAATAAATTTAAAATATTCTTAAAATAACTTAAAATCACAGTCGAATACACTTATTTATAAAAAGGTAAACTATTTTTAATAGTTGGATTTTAGTTATGTGTTTTTACATTATGAAAAATTATAACTAAAAAACTAAATGTGTGAAAAATCGTGAATACAAATAGAACAATGGCAACATTGGTGAAATGAAAACAAAAGAGAACAACTGATTTCTGCGTTGCAACTACAGGCATAACTTTTGACAAATTCATCCTTGAATTTGGTTTGATATGGGCTTTGGTTCGATAAGAAAGGAATGTCGGTGACTGTTTGGGTACTAAATTTTGTCTGCACATCAGCAGAGTATGTGCCGTTTCACATTGGGATGCAAAAGAGTCTGATGTTTTTCAAATTTTCTTTTGGTCGCTCTGGGCATTCACACGGTTAAAAAGAGTCCAGCAACTCGAGTCTAGTTTTTCTACATTCCTTTTCACAAAATGTTCGTAAATATTTGTGCGGTTCGACTGCGCAACACTGCGTGCTGCGTATTTCATTTGTATGTTGAGATGATGGTCACACATTTTGCTTGCAATGAATTACCATGAATATGGTAGAACAATATGCATAATACAAGTACCTACCCGCTAAATAGTTTCAAAAAAATACTAAAGACGGGAATTCCCTAATCCACAAGAATGTATTGAATATCCGCTACTAATATTTTCAAGGCCAAATTTATAATTGGAATTTCCTAATCTTTAAGTATTAAAAACTCATAATTTCTTTACTCCGTATTAAAAATTCATAATTTCTTTACTCCATAATCTATATCTTAATTTTCTCCTTATTTACAATTTGTCATAATATTTCTATTATTCTATGCATACGTATTTGCATATTACATACAAAAATAGATAACAGAACTCAAATTTACGATCGAATTCATTTGAAACTGATTTCATTTGCAAGAACCATTCAAAGGATTTGAAAGTGAAAAGGAATGCTGAAAAGGGTAGCAGCGAGCTGTTACGAACAAGAACACAAAGCGTGCCACCCGAACACGAGTGGCACGGTCCCTTCGTCTTTCCTCGTCGTCGCCCACAATAAACTGGTATGAGACTCTTTTGAATCCCTGTGTGAAACGGCACTATCAGCAAATATGCAATACAGTGGCTGTACTGCTGCAATTATTACGTAGCTCGAACGCACCCCGTATTTACATTCTCTGCATACACCACCCATGCAGACGTCATACACATACACACCACAACTCTACACCACCCAAGAACTAGAGGACTTCTTTTCGTTTTGGATATTGAACTGGCAACATAGCGTCCGTCGCAGCATCATCGTTTTCTTCAAAAATATAAATTTTTTATACATTGTACTTTTCGGCATTCAAAATTTGAATTTGGCAAAATAATAAAGACAACAAACATATTAATATCGAGTTCTTTGTGCTTTCCCTTCAAAATAGTTACTTCCGAAGCGGAGTGCGTGGTAAGTGCAGGTGATCGACTTAAGTAATATGTAAAAGAGGTAAGGATGGATTCTATTGCGTTGTGGGAGAAATACAAATCTAATCTGATGAGTCTTAGTGAAGTAAGTAAATTTGAATAATAGAATGTAATGCGAGTTTTTAAACTGTTTGTGCTTTTACTCATTAATAGTTTCGCGCAAAACTTTCGTTTTAGCAATTTGAAGTATTAAAAGCACGGTTGCGATGCTTATTAGCTGCTAGAGAACTACATTATGCCCCAAAACAAGTGGTGCAAATATTAAACTCTCCATAATATTTGTTGCGGGGTTGTCACTTTTCTTTTCTGGATGGAATATCAGAAATTTGTTCAATTTATGATTTTTAGCTTGTGTGTGTGTTTAGTGTATTGATAAGTGATAAAATCATGATTTGAATTTCTGAATGGGTACATTTATATGCGCATGTGCTAATATACATACAAACATATGTCTATATAAGATTAATATGATAACAGATGTATGTATATGTTGTAATAAATTTAATCTCTATTAGTAACAATTATAATACAAAATATTTATTAGGAATATATATTAAGTAAAAACTAAATAAAATTATTAAATGCCCAAATTAACTATAAATATTCTTTTAAAATGCCATAATTGAATTAGAATCTTATCAGTTTTGCATTCATTGATAAAAATTCGGATAATGAAATTCATATCAATAAATATGATTGCATATAAACGTATAAAAATATAAGCCAAAAGGCTAACATGCAGCTGTAATATCAAAGCAAGTCTCTGAGCATAATTTTCATTCAATACTCAGGTCTGTTCATTCGCTGTTAAAATGTCTTCTTCCGAGCTAGCTGCAGTGAAATCCACTCATCGAATCTTGTTAGGTTTTGCAAATAATGCATTAAAAAATAATTGAATAACATTTAAATTAAAATTACAATCTGAAGCATATAGGTACATATGTAATTACGAATTAAACAAAAAAATTTGCTTTAGAATTCGCATTTTTTCGAGTTCATTCAAACCAAAAAGTAATATTTTCAATTTTAAATTTTTAATCTCGAACATCTTGAATTAAAAAAAAAAAAATTAATTTTTAATCCCAACATGGGGGTTAAAAAATGAAAATCTAAAATTTAAACCCAACATCGGAATTAAAATTAGATTTTCATTTTTTAATCGCTACTTTTTGAATTAAAAAATTCGCAACCTTGGTGATGAGTTAGTGGGAAAAGTTTTTATCATGTTTCGGGGATACAGCTTTAGTAGTTTGTGAGATGTGTACATAAAACCTATTAGGAGGCGAGGCCATGCCCACCTTAAAAAAATCGTAAACTATAAATGCTCTTTCCCCGTTGGGATCTTTACTTTTTAAGTAATAGGTTTCAAACCATAAAGTTCACCTGATTGTTGTTGTTGTAGCGGCAGAATTTTGTCGAGTTGACAGTCCCTGGCCGGAAAAAATCCGGGTCCGTTCCGGTTACGTAGACCCGACTGTTATGGAAACGGAGTTCACCTGATATTTTCAATTGGTTTTGTTTTGTCCCATGAATAAGTAGTTTTACAGCTAATTTGGATATTGCTTGTGCTTATATTCTGACAACTTAACACTATTATATAATTTCATATTTAACATAGTGCATTATATTAAAAAGAAGATACATTTTAAACTGCAAGTATGAATTTAACTTCTGTCATTGTCAATTCCAGAAATAAGCGTTCATTGCACATCGGAAGGACAAAAATAATTGGCCTTATAATAGAATAATAAATGTGTTAAAATATTTCTAATACACAAATAATGCTTGTCTGATTTATTTTATTTCAATATCAATTTTGTACTTGATTTTAGATAATTTAAAAGCTTCAGCGCTTTACTTACTACACATTTCACATATGTATATACATACCTATTTATATACTTATACTATTATCGAGCGTGTAATTAAGTAATAGTTAAATTTAAATGGTTTATATTAACAAACTTAAAAAAGTAAAAAAAAAATATTGTCCAAAATTAAAATCATGTGTCGAGATCCTTATGATAAATTGCAGGAACTACTGCAATTACTAAGCGGTTTGCTTTGACCCAGTCGTATGGCATCTTCTTTGTCTTCTTCCACCGTGTTGATATCATGACGTCGCTAAATAATTAAACAAATGCAATTATTTTGTAATTACGAAATATAAAGACTAAATTAATTTGTCTTATATACTCTTTATAATGATATACCCATTGATTTGTATACTTTTTTATTAGCAAAATTTAAAATTTGTATATTTATTCGCGAGTAATTCAATGAAAAGTTTCATGTAATTTTATACGTATTAAAAGGAGAAGAATGATTAATAAATTTGCAAAGATCAAAGCCAAAGAATCACTTTCAGGTGATGGCAAACATGTATATTAAACAAGTAAGAAAGCCCTAAATTCGGATGTAATCGAGCATTTTATACTCTCGAAATTTGTTTTTGTTACAAAAGTTTATATTAAAAAATGTTGCGAAACAATTCAGCATGCATTATTCGAAGAAACCGAATGTATTAAAATTAAATTTGGTATATTATCTACTCATGTACTTAGGGTCCATACTACATTAAGTCCGAAACAACAATATTATGCATCTCATACTATTATAATCAAAGCTCCAGAAAAGAGGTTGGCGGCGCCTGTTTGAAGATTGTACAAAGCACTTTTAGAGACTTAGAAGAAGCGTGAATATATGATTGCCGACCGCTCATGTAATTTATTGTCCACTTCTTCAGCCCTGAAAGAAGCGTAGATGCCTTCTAGTAAAGCACTTTAAGGAAACCATGTTGAAAGTCTGCTAGACTCAGAGGGTGAATGTACGTCGGGAGAACCAAGGCCGCAATATTAAATATTTCGAACTTGCCATCGCTTGACCGTATAACTATGCATTGACATGCCAGGATAGTATCGCTTTGGTCGATGTTGCCCTCGATAAGACGAAATTGCATAGTGTTGTACAGTATGAAGGCTAAGGTTCTACTACTATTGCGCTCGCGATTATTGCGTATTACTGATGGCTCAGACTAAGGGACTGTTGTCTAGTTGAGCCCCCTATACGTTGGCAGTATGGGGCCACGTAACGTGAAGGCCTGAGCAGGTCTAAAGATGGCTCCATCTATTGCATGTGTTACATCTAACCGAAGTGGAGTTTGGATTCAATCTTTTCGAACAAACACAGCAGAAAAAATCCTCCGGTCTCGGGTTGGACTCATGACGGAGTACATCTTATACAGTTACAATAAAACCAACAGCTATTACAACAATTTTCTATGTACCAAATAATACCCACTTTCAAAAATAATGCCTATTCGAAATAAATTACTAAATTGCGTTTTCTATTTCACTTGGTTTGCAACATACCTTTAATTCCGTTGCCAAACAAACAAATGCATCTTCAACATTTGTATTTTGTTTCGCTGATGTTTCCATTACAAAAAGAATTTCGGGTATATATTGGCACATTTGCTTCGCTTCTTCAAAATCCACTTCTCGCTCTTCGTCAAGATCACTCTTATTTCCAATTAAAATAAGTAACACGTTGGATGCTGTGTAACGCCGTACCTCTTCAATCCACTTTTGAAGATTTGAAAAAGAAGACCTCTTTGTTATGTCATAAACTAAAAAGATTCAGTCATTTAATTAAAATTACTTACAATTTTTCTACATTATTAACACTTTTGAAAATAATATCTATCGTTATCGTTATTCAGCAATTATTGCCAAAATTATGTTTAAAAGTTTATACATATATTTATATTTTTACCAAAAGTTGAGATATATACCTAATCCGTGTAAATATAAAAAGTAGCTAGTGTTAGATCATAACAAGCCTCTCAGCAACTTTCTTCAATATTGACAGAAGTTTGTACAAATAAATCAAACTAATTCTTGAAATTTTTGATTAAAATTCTGCACTTATAATATTAAGTATAACATATTTGGTTGGACCAGTACATACCTATTATAACACCATTTGCAGAACGATAGTAGCTTTGCGTGATTGTACGAAATCGTTCTTGTCCAGCAGTATCCCATATTTGAAGCTGGAAGCCAATATAATTTATTAGCTCACATAATTTATCATAGCTTTACTTACTTTTACTTGTTTCTCTTCGATATTAACCGTTTTCATAGAAAAGTCGACACCTATAGTATTACCATGTCTTTCTATAAAATTTCCAGTTTTAAAACGATCAACAATACAAGTTTTCCCAGTTCCACAATCTCCAATCAATACCACTTTAAATAGAAAATCAAAATTTTCTTCATTTGGCAGTGCCATAAGCGTCTGGGGATTTCGCGAATTCATATTAGAATTTAAAGCTTTAATTTTATTTTATTTGATGCTACATTCAAAATTTAAAATAAACTCTAGAAAACAAAACTTGTATTTGATACCTAAAACCAAAACAATTCATAGAATATCAGCTGACAGGAATTAGCAATGGCGTTGCCAATTAGCAAATGTGCATGTTAAACTTGTTTTTAATATTAGGCTGTGTGCCAAACGGTATAATTTTTCTCTGTATTAAGTTGAAGTTGAAGAAAAATATCCTATGGTGTAAGCATACTGTGACGAACACGGATGATAGAATAAAATCGACCCAAACAAGAAAAGGAAGTGACACAATGTTTAGTAGAGGTTTCTTACACCGCGTTGGAATCTTTCTGGGAATGTTTGTCAGCACAGTTGTTAGCAGCGAAAGAGCTGGACGTGCGTATATCAGCACAGGTGTCCTTAGGGTCTCAAAGTCTGATAAGCAAGAAGCTTGTATGACAGCATAAATGTACTCACATGTATACCAGTACAGGGGTCCTCACTGGCAGAAAGCGTGTATACCAGCACAGGTATCCTCACAGCTGGAGGCGCAGGATAAAATTAAAGCTGAAATGGATGACTCTTTGCAAGAATATCCAGAATTGCAAGGTGTTATGCATGAAGTGGAGTGGAACAAATGTACAACGAGTGGAGAAATAACTACAGGAACGCCAGTCGCAAAAGCATATTGAACAGAGCGGAGCAGTTTAAAGTTGGTGTGTGGCTGTTTGCATCGAGTATGGAAATGCGCAAATGGGGAAACCTTCCGAGTACTTAGGGTTGTTTCAAAGGTTAGAACTCCTGAAGTTCTTAACGTGCAATACAAAGGTCCAAGAGGGCAATTGAGAATCACGAAAACCTTGGAGAAATTGAAGCAGGGGTTTTATTGGACTGGTTGTCCTCAATCAGCTTTGGAGAGGATTGCGAAATATGCTGAGTACATTTTGGCTAAAGGGTCAAGGTCCAGGAGTCATCAAATTGGCGTGGATGTAGATGGTTCATTTCCCTCCAACATTGTTAATAATATTAGGAAGTAGTCATGTTTTGTTAGTCAAGGACCATTTCAACGAATGGCCGGAAGTATACAAAATTCCTAATCAAGAGGCTGAACCAGTAGCGGACGCATTCATAAACAAGTGGGTAACGAGATTCGTGTTCAAATGGGGTTACCTTCTTACCAGGAATAGAATCTCGAGTCAGCATTAAGTCTAGGGATATACCAGAAACTAGGTATCTGGAAAACGGATGGAATTAACTCCAATAAGAGACGGCTATGGAAGTTAACACCATCCTAGATGACGAGATGAGAGACATAAATGCTTTGTGTTTGGCATCGCAAATATGTCTAATCTGGACGATCAGACTAAGGTGGAAGGCAGTATGACGAACACGGATGATAGAACAAAATCGAATTAACGATAAATTACCAGAAGCAACTAGACAGCGAATTCGTAGTTGCCAGAATTTTCTAGTGGGGAATTTTGTTCAAGATCAACTGGCAGCCCTTATGGATTGTGCAGCAAAGACAGTTCTAGTTAGAGTGTTGCCGTGTAAAGAACAATTGAGCTATAAGCAATAAGTTGTAAACTCGAATAACGAGTAATAAGTGCTAGTGTCACAGGCGTCGCGTGTTTTGCAAATTCTCAGAATTGACCAATTCCTCCCACTTGCCACAACCCGGCGTCTCAGTAGCTTTTGTTTTAGTGCTAAAAGGACCACGGAAGGAAGCAGATGTGACGTTCGTTGTTTAGATAGATAGATAGATAGATTAATTTTTAAGGTATGCACCGCGACCTATGGTCTATTGTGCCCTCCCCTAAGACATATCGAATCATCTAGGCCCAGCATGTTGATAAACTCCAAAATTCTGTGAGGCGATACAATCCCTGTGCAGTTCATCAGCAGATGTTCTGGGGTTTCCGGCTCTATGTCGCAGAACCGGCAGTTTGCAGAGGAGGATATGCCTATGTTGAAGAGGTGCTTCTTGAGCTTGCAATGGCCGGTGTAGAACGCGACAAGTAGCCGGAATTTGTTTCTCGGGAGGTCGTAACCCCCCATTAGCAACCTGGCATGGCGCATGCCTTGAAGTTGTTGCCAATGTGTCTCCCTGCCTGCTCTTTCCTCCTTACGGAGGACCTCTTTAATGGTATGTGGACCAACCGCTATGAATGGTTCCGGTCCTACCATTTATGTAGAGCCTGCAGAGCGGGCCAACTCGTCAGCCAGTTCGTTTCCGGCTATACCCCTGTGGCCAAGCACCCAAATAAGGTGCACTCGGTTGTGCTCTGATAGGCTATTCAACCGTTCTATACATTCCAGCACTAGAAGTGATCTGACCTCATAGGCAGAGATCGCTTTTAGTGCCGCCTGACTATCGAGTATAGCAATACTTTTATTGCGATAGTTGCGTTGGAGGTTTATCTCTACAAACCGACTTATAGCATAGACCTCAGCTTGGAAAATGCTTGGGAAACTTCCCATGGGAATGGAGAGTTTGCTGCTTGGCCCAGCGACCCTTGCACCAATCCCCTCCGCCGTTTTCGACCCATCGGTGTACTTCTTGATAGTGTTTTCCCTTAGCAGCAGGTCCAGTAATGAATCATTCCATTCGGACTTGCTGCCAAGGGTAACTTTGAACTTCTTAGTAAAGTTTACTACTTTGGTAATGCTGTCCCTCGGGAGAAGGGCCAGTGGCATTTCCTCACTTAGCGCTTTCATCTGCTGGAATGAGATTACCCTCCCCTTTGCCAACTCCCTCTGCTGTCAATTGGAGTAGAGTCTGTTTGGCTGTCTGTTTAATTACCAGGTGTAGCGGTGTAAGTTCTAGCATGACTTCCAGTGCTGCATTCGGATACGTACGCATTGTTCCCGACGCGCAGATGCAGGCAAGTCTTTGCAGCTTCGACAGTTTGAGTCCTACCGAAGTCTGCGATGCTTTAAAAACCCAAGATACCGCTCCATACGTGATAATCGGTATCACGATCATGGTGTACATCCACCTGATAGTCCTTGGGGAGCACCCCCAGGACTTTCCAGCAAGTCGGTTGCACACCATGGGTGCTTTCGTAGCTTTGGTTAGGGTCTGGTCCACATGCTGCTTCCATCGTAGAGTGGAATCCAGCGTGAGGCCCAAGTACTTGACCGTGCTGGCCATCTCCACCACTCTGCCGTCAAGGGGTATATTTCTGAGGCCTAGCAGTGACCTCCGTCTAGTGAAGGGAATGATTGTAGTTTTAGAGGGATTGATGTTTAAGCCAACCGCACTACACCATCCCTTTGCCAGTCCCAGACTCCTCTGTACGATATCGCAGAGTGTGTATTCGAATTTACCCCTAGGTAAGATAACGATGTCATCCGCATATCCCTGACACCGGATTCCATTGCTAGTTAGCCGCTCAAGGAGATCGTCCACAACTAGGCTCCAGACAATATTCCAGAAGTGGATAGCAGGAATGAGAGAAGCGCTGATAGTTCTTGTTCAGAAAATAGCTTTGTTATTTTGTTACTATGTTTGCGTTTCGATAATCCATACTTTCGCGTTGAAAGGCGAAACGGTGATAAGTTGGCAACTATATCCTTTATTTTCAACAAGTTTGTCAACAATTCTCAACAGCTATACGAATTGAGTGAATGCGTCACCATAGGTGAGATATTAGTGAAGTTTCGTCACATAAGAAGTCACATAATTTCTTATATGCCGAAAAAAACAGGTAAATATAGACTGGTCATACGAGCCTTATGTGATGCAAAAAATGCTTATTTTTATAATGGATATATTTCTAGCGGCAAAGGCTTTGAGGTATTGGTTTGACCACACAAGATCAAAAACTTTTCGTACCTACTCAGTGTGTCCTAGTGTTGATACAACCAATTGAAGGAAGCAATCGAAATATGACTGTTGATAACTGGTTTTTTCTATAAAACTGATTGATGAGCTGGCAAAACGTAAACTTCTTTATGTGGGTACTATGAAAAAAAATAAACGTGAAATACCAAGCGAATTTCAGACGCTTAAAAATAGAGATGCCAGTCAACTTTGTTTGGATTTACAAATCAAAAAACTATTTACTCATATGTGCCTAAGAACAATAGAGCTGTGTGGATTGTGTCCTCAATGCATCATAGAGAAGTAGTCGATGAGGATACTAAAAAGCCAGAAATTATTCTGTAATATAAAACAACAAAAGGAGGCATTGATGAAGCAGATAAAAAGTGTTTAATTTTTTCCAGCAGCCGCCGAAGGAGAAGGTGGCCAATGGTGGTATTTTACGCCATTGGGGACTTGAGCGGCATAAATGCCTATATATAATATTATACAATATGTATCAGCCTATTATAATAGACAGAGGAGATTTTTTAGTCGTTAGCCCGTTCGCTACTGCTACCCCAAATGCAAAGGCGTGTTGTGTGCAGTCAATTACCAAGGGAGCTACGGCTGGTGATAAAGCGAGTACTGGATGAAGATATGGTTGAAGAAGATACCCAAAGTCCTGCAATTAGTCAGAGAAAGCGAATGGCATGCATGATTTGTACGTCCAAACAGCACAGAATAAGTGTACATATGTGTCGGGTATTGCAATCCCATATGTCTGCAATGTTCTCGCTCCTTGTGCAAAAATTGACAATGATCCTCGATGTATTTCACGGATTTATGTGCATAAGCTAAGTGAGCTAACCTCTCAATGTCTGTAGAAAACTCATACAGAGACTCATTGGCTTTCTGGCGGCGATTTCGCAACTCGATTGGGAAGATCTGCTTCCGGTGCTCACTACCATACCGTCTTTCTAATGCACCCATCAACGTTTCATAACTACTCGCCTCGCAGTTTGGAATGGTCTGTAATATCTCCGCTGCATATCCTTTCAATGCAACGCAAAATGCAGCTACTTTATCTTCAGTTTTCCAATTATTTGAAGATGCCGTCTTTTAAAATTAAAGTTTAAAAACGTGGAATGTAACAGTGTCATCAAAAGATGGCCAACTCAATTGTAGCTCGCGGAGACGATCTTTCAATTCATCCAGTTTAGTTTTAATTTTGGCCCGCTCTTCCGAAATCTGTGAGGACGCTTCTGCTATTTATGAGGTCACCTGTGCTGATCGTGCGCTGCGAATCGCTCTATCAACTGCGTTGACAACCGCATTTCGAACGAGGACAATTGGGATTGTTGTGCCAACATTTGTGTGTGCCTCTGCTATTTTTTGGGTCATACGTGCTTCCTGCTCTTTAAATTGTGGCAATATTTGCGTTGACATCTGGAATATTTGCGCTGGCATTTGCGATATA